AGTTGAGTTGAGCAACTTACAATTCTGCTCCATTGAAATTCCCATGCTGTTATACACAGTAGACAATCAGTACATCCTGCTGATTATCAGCAGTGGAACCAGTGTATGAAAAGCACTGCCGCCCTTCAAACAGATGAATATTCCATGCTTCAAGAATGCTCGAATAAATTTTAAATATGCCATTGATATATTTTTTCTTCCATGATAGATTGGAATAAGATGTTCAAATAGTTGTATAGTTGTGTGCCACCTTTTCTTTCAAGGAGTATTTTTGTAGCATGGTAGCTAACCTGTGAATTGCACAATGCTTCGACATATGAATTACCTTATTTTGGACATTGATCTATTATTGTTTTTCCACAGGAGTTCACTAGTTGCCATGACATGAACATTTACTAGTTGCCAGGACACTCTCTTATTTGTTTCTCTAGCCTCTTATTTGTTTCTCCTATATATAGACATAGTCTCTACATATGCAGCAATCATAATAACCATTCACAGGTTTATCCTCCATGCATTTAATTAACTTTGTTGCCTGCATGAAATTCCTCACTTTAATGGCCATCATTCTGTTTTCTGGTGGCAAATTCTGTTACCAAGTTACCAAGTTCTCTCTGCTTAGTGAAAAACTATTTTCTCTCAACCTCACGTTTTCTCAATCTACCAAATGAGAGATTTTGAATGCTATTATATAGAGGAAAGACCCCATATTCTGGGTTGCATAGAGCTGTTTTGTTTCTTTCCACAACCACTAGAAAGGTCTGTATGTGCATTGGAAAGGGAGACTTGCTTGTCTCCCAATCTTTGTTACCTATTAAAATAAATTTTTGATATTAGATTGCTGATTCCTTACTATATTCCCTGTCTTCCAAACATTCAATACTTTTAGTAAAAAAAATACAAGGTGTAGTGAGATTTATCTTTCATACAGAAGGCATCTGGGTTCCAAACAGGATGCAGCATAATACGACCCAATAATGCTGACTTATTTAGAAGATTAAATTATACATAACTTGATGATGCATCTGAATGTTTTTAAGTACATGAATACACTAAAATATTAAATTCTTATAACAATCATATCATGGGGGTTAGATTTAGTTCTTTACTAAATGGCTTTATGGTTTTTCTAGGCTGGTTCTGATACAAAATACTACATAAAATGGCTTTTTAAAAATTGCTGTAATGTTTCAATGACATATAGAATTTGGATTGAAATTCAATTCTAATTATTATCCAAAATCATTATTATTCAAAGTAAAATTATTAAGAGGGGATTAAGCACATCATTTTTCATAATCATTAGTGTTTTTAGTTACAATAAGTCATATTTTGAATTGCAACTTTCCAATACAATTTGAAGATGGGGAAGGAGGGGTAGCCTCAAAACCACTTCCTAGACTACCATATACAAATGCATCTACTGCAGGGATGTCAAACTGCCGGCCAATGGGCCGGACGTGTCATCGGGGAACCACGCCCACTCCATTGCTGGCAATGGCGAAAAAGCTCCGATACGTTGCACAATGTCACATGACATCACGAGTTTGACATGTCTGATCTACTGGGTCAAAATAAGATGGGAAGAATGGGGAATATTGTTTACAAGAAAAAGAAAAAAAAGGCACAATATATTATCAGTTGCGGAGTCCTTGATGCTCTCTGAGCTTGGTTGTTTTCTTGCAGATGTTTCATTATTGAACTAGGTAACAACCTAATTACCCAACTAGGTAACATTATTATCAATTATTTATGCAGTTTAAAATAGTGAAAAAAGGGAAGAAGGGAAGATATATATAAAGACAGGAACTGAAAACAGGATGAAAAAATAAGTATATGATGAATATTGGAAGACTTTTTTTTAAGAAAATAGTGGCTATTAAGAAATAAAACAACCATACAAACAAATAAACAAAAACATGCAGAATGAGAATTGTAAGAGATTGTAATAACAATATTTATAAATAAATAGTTTCTCTCTTTGCCTCCCATAATCTGGTTTTCTTCCTAAGACTCCAGTTGAAGAGACTAATTTCAAGAGTCACTGATTTGAGGACAAACCTATTACTATCTGATTCCAATAATCTCCTTTCTACTGCAGTGTTATATTAAGAAGGACAGAGAATTGGAAATAGGGTGAGTCAGATATTTTCATTCTCATTTGATTGAGAACTAACTATATTCCAAATTACCCTATTCTGCATCATGTTTAAAGCAACATCGATACAGTACAACTTGTATCAAGTTGGAACATAGCCTTACAAAGTAGCTTACAAGCTACAGCTTTTATGACAAGTACAATTTAATTACAACTAATATCTGTGGGGAAAACTGCAAAGAGAAGTTGAAAAAAGGAGTGTTTGTTAAATGTTCATCCGTGATTAAACTGCTTACACAAATAGACTGTTCATTAAACTGTTCTGTTGTGCCAGTTCTCCTTGCAGACACATAAACTTGGATAGAAATTATTAACTGAATATTGTAATCCTGGATGGGTTGCTGCCACAAAAGTTAAAACAACCTTTACCATTAACATTGATGAATTTTCAAATACTTGTCCTTTTTTGAAAAGTGTTGCTTAGCACATCTATGTAACAAGAAACTAATTTTGCTATATGCAACAAAACTTGCTTATGTTGCAGTCTAAATAAACAGTAGGTAAATTGAAATGCATTTTAAACATGAAATATGTATTCAGGCCATCAAGAATAATATGTACTTGTACTTGCAAATACTTTCCTCATTTTTTAGGATTCCCAGTTGTTGCTTTGCAAGCATCTGTACTGTATATGGAATACGTATACATACACACACTCATGCCCACACAAATCCCTTTGATTTTAATAAATCTTTGGCATTAAGGGAAGATCATGTATGTAAATTGGATGAAAAGTTTCTGTATTTTTTCCATTGCTGTGCATTTAGCAGAAAAAACTATTTAACAAAATTACAATCCTAAATTTCTTCTGTTTGAACCAAATTTTTTCATGAAAGCTTTTAATGTGCATAGATAAGTTACTTTACAATACCAAAATGTACAAACACCGATTTTACATTTCTTTATTTGCACATCATTCTATAACATCTCATTACACGTACTATTTTCTTACATAAAAGTCTGATATGGACAATATCCTTATACACATATGGAAATCTAGAAACAATAGCATGTTTATTATATTATGTGCAATGTGTAAATTTAATAAAAGTGCACCTGTATTTATGGGACTGTTTATTTTATCTCCAGGTTGAAAGACTTATCTGAATTGTATAACTTTTATATAACTATCTGAATTTTCTTCAGGAAACTGCAAACTGTTGAACAGGTAATTAACCTAAACCTTATAATTTATGATTTTCAGAGAATTAAATACATCATGTATTATAGCATTTATATATACCAGGGGTGTTAAACTCGCAATGTCATGTGACGTTGCGATGTATCGCCAATTTCTTTCCATTGCCAGCAATGGGGTGGGCGTGGTTTTGCCACGACGCATCCGGCCCATGGGCCGGCAGTTTGACATCCCTGGTATATACTGTACCTCTGTATTCCAGTAACATTATTAATAGGAGCAATCTTATTCACTAGGTTTATGAGATGTTTATCTCAAATGTCTCACCTATTCTTGTCTGATAATGTTTGTGTAAATATGTGGGCAGGATGACAAAGTTTCTTCTTGTATGAATAATACCTAGCTTTTAGGATTGGTGGGAATAAATTCTGCAATTTTTATTTAAAATTCATTTATCTAAAATGAATGGTTTGGAGATGCATTAAAATGTTTCCAGATAGTTTTGAAGCAGAGCAGGCCAATTAGACATGATATTAAGAAACTTGATCTCTAGTAGCTATCATAAGGGAAAGTTAGGAAGGCACTGGTGATATGGTCTCGACAAAAACAGCAAAATAATAACTCACAAATTCTGTCCTGAATATTTTTGATAATTACATATCAAATTACATAATGTAATTACATTACATAATTACATAATGTAAAACAAAACTGAAATAACTTTTTATACAAGATATTTTTACAATTTTGGCAATTCAGAATTCAATCTTTTATACCTGCTACTGGTATTAACTTTTTTAAAGGTAACATTAAATACCACATTTTTAGCTTTATAAAAATAATTCTCTATCATTGTTCAGTGATAACTGACATAGTTTGGTTTCAAAAGATGTTAAGTCATAACTAGTCAGCAGTGTAACTAAACTGATGATGCAGTCTTTAATACAAATGAATATGAATTTTCATTGAAAATACATTTGAAATTGTTAGGACTTTTAAAAATGTATACATGGTAAAAAAAATTATGAAAGTGAATATGGTTTAATTTGTTTTTAAAATTTTACAGAGTTAAAAGTTAAATGTTTACTTCTTTACCTCTATAGCTATCTGGTTTGGCACAACAACCAAACTAGACAGACACAGACTTCAATGGCTAGTTAGGACTGCAGAAAAAATAATTGCAATCAACCTGCCTTCCATTGAGGACCTGTACACTGCACAAGCCAGAAAGAGGGCTATGAAAATATCTATAGACCTCTTACATCCTGGACATAAACTGCTTCAACTTCTTCCCTCAAGAAGGGCACTGCACGACAAAACAACCAGACACAAAGACAGTTTTCCCCCCCATGCTATCACTCTGCTAAACAACTAATTCTCACAACACTGTCTATCCCTAGGATGTCAAACCACCTAGTAGGGCTATATTATTTATTATCCTTCTCATCTTTTCATTTTTCCTATTACCTATTTCCTTAGCTTCTCATGACTATAACTTTGTTATTTGTATCTCATGGTTTATGTTGATTGTCTTTATTTGTTGTTTGCTTATTTAGTATCCTATGACTATCACTGAGTTTGTAGCTTATGATTTATGATGACTGTATTTTATGATTATGACCACGATTTATTATTTGTTGCTTGTATGTACACTGAGAGTTTATGCACCAGAGACAAATTCCTTGTGTGCCCAATCATACTTGGCCAATAAATAAAGAATGAATGAGTCCTAACACTCTAGATAGAATACATAAATTAATAACTTTATTTTGTAACAGTTTTTTAAAAATAAGCACATTTTAAAAGACATTCCATAGTTTTTTATTTTTGCAGACCTAAATTTATGAGCTCAATATTGTACTTTCAATGAGGTTCCTTTATAGTTGGGGTCTTTCCATGAAAAGGATTTATTAGTTTTTCAACAAACCGTATTTTCCTTGTAATAATGTATCTCAGGAAAACACAATACAACTTAGATCTGGAATCCAGTGTTAGTGCATCTCATGGCTACTTATTTCTAAAACAAAATGGGATCTAATGAGAAAAATACACCTACATGTGATTAGAATAAATCTGGGAATACTGCAATCAATTTTTGAACATGCCTTGTAACATACTTCAATCTTTATGTGAGAACAAACTGTTTCTGAAATCCAGTTCTGTAATACAAATTGTTCATAATGCATTTGTTCTTTCATGATTATAGATCATCTCTTTGAATAAACATTTTATAGTATATTTGTAATTATGAATAAATAAATGTTCATTTAAATTTCTTAGTTATGAACACACACTTATGCAGAAAAAAACAATATTTTGGATGCCATTATCATCAAATATTACTTGGCCTTCAAAGTAATGGAGCCAGTTGCAAGTCTTTACATCTGAATATCCATGTTTTGAAGCACTATTGCCACTCTGCTTGGAATGTATACCTAAAGGGAGAATAAAAAAAATCTTATTATTGAGCCGTAAAAAAACCTTTGTGATATGGGAGGCATAAATCTAAATGACTTAAATAAATTACTTATAATGTTACATTATTTAATGTCACTGAAGAATCAAACACTTATTAAATATAGCATGGATGTAGAGTGAAATTCTGGATTTGCGTATTTGGTCTTAAGACTAATTAATAGAAATGATAAACTTTGCATCCTTGTCATCCTAATACCCAATGCTGGATTGGGTAATAGGTTTAAATGAAATTGGAACTAGAAGACACATGTGATTTAAACTGATCAAGTCTGAATGTTTGAGGACATGCACTAGTAAATGACAAACTCTTACTATTAAATTTGATCGCCATGGACTGAATTTGTACTTTGCCCGAGATGTCATTCAGTAGAAGTAAATACAGCAGAAGAAATAGTAAAGCATTTAGAAATAGTAAAGCGTTAAGTCAGAGGGCTGAAATGCGTCTCACTGTGATATATATATGTTGAACAAATTTATTGAAAAATGATAATAATATTCTTTCAACATTATGATTAAGATAGTTTTTTTTATTCTTTCACAGAGAAACTCTGAATCTGAACTCATTTTTAGGTAAGAAAAAAAGAACTCTGTAACAGTGGATTTTATAATGTTCCTTTCACAGATCATATTCTGAGTTGTTGTTTTTAACCAATTGATATATATTCTTTACAGACTGCAGAGTGTAACTGATCATGTAAGTTGATCTCAATAAAAATGCAATCAGAAAAACATAAGTTGCTAACTGAAGATTGTTGCCTAACTTTTTGACAATGCTTTTAACGCCACTTGGCATTTCTAGTATAATGCTATTTCCATACCTGTTAAGAGCTAACTCATAGCATAAAGTGACTTTATAGTCAGCAACCAGAATAAATGATGGAGAGAGAGAGAGAGAGAGAGAGAGAGAGAGAGAGAGAGAGAGAGGAAGAGAGAGGAAGAAGGAGAGAGAGAGAGAAGGGGGGGAGAGATAGAAATCTTCACTGAATCAGACTGTAACATGTCCAATGGATCATAGCTATCTGTCAGTGATCAGAGTGTTTTGTGATAAATAACTCCCACAAATCTGCTCAGCAGGTAAGGACATTTGACATATACCTAGAATCCTGTACTCTGAAATTTACGGAACAAAAAAAAAAAGTCAGTGAAGTGGTTAATGATACTTGGTTATTGCAAAATATGTGATAAGGGGTTTATTTCCAAATATTTTAGCAAACAAAACCATACATTGCTGATACTTCAAATAGTTCAGTGGAGAAAATCCCATGTTTAACATTAATGAGAAATAAGTAAGAGACAGTTATTAATTAAGGGCAGACAATCTATTAATGAAAATTCTCACTGACAAAAGGATGTGGGCTGATGTCTTTTTTTTTAACTTAGCAATAGCTAGATGAGCATGGGTTCTTTACCCCTTCTATAATCCCAACTATTATTATTTCTGCCTTCTTAGACTATATGGATTCCACTTACATTTAGAAAATGACATTTAATATGGAAAAAAGTATGTATTAAGCTACCCAATACTATCTACAGTCCAAAGAATCAACATATCAAAAGAGATATTTTAATGTATTTTTGATAATACTGTACTTTAAAAAATTAAAACAATATTAAGAAAGCAAACATGTTAATATATCCGCAAAGTAAAATAGATTTTCATTTCTCTTGATCATAGTCATCAGTTGAAAGTCTTATTTATGCCCCTGTATATGAGAACTTCCTGAAAAAGTTCCACCTTTTTTTTTCATTTGTAGAGAAAACTGGATTAAATTATATTTTAGCATTTGAAGGAGGAAATTGGATATGATTTTCCTGCCATTATTAATTACTAGCACTATTTCACTTTCCACATCAGGTTTTCTTGCTCTTTCCAATGCCATTGAAAGCAGCTTGAGGGCAAAGATTTGGGGAAAAAAAACACAAAAAAACAACCACCCTTTTCTCTTTGCCTGCCTTGATTTTACAAAGTTTTGCTGCAGACAAATCTTGATTTTTACCCTTTCCTTTTTTTCCAGCAGAAAGGGTCGCAACCCCCTCCCCCAATTTGGGGACTATCTATCCCATTAACCAGATTTGGTTAAAGGGAAATTCCTTCTTTTTCTGCTCTGCCAGAAGGCCACAGAATCAACCAAAATATGACTAGGTTGGGATGGCATTTTCATATCTTTGCCTTCTTTTTTTCCTTTTCTGGAAACTTGTCCTTATATTATACCAAAATATAATTAGCCAAAAAGCCCATAATTGATTTCTCTCTTTGTCCCCCTGCCACTAAAAATAGAAATATGTTAAAACTTAACAATTGGTATGGGAACTTTTAAAATCTATTTAAGTTTACTTATATGTTACCTTCAAGAGACTCACAACAATAAAAATCAATAAAATATATTTTCAAAATAAAATCAGCACAAAAATATAGATATTTGATGATTAAAAATATATTTATCCAAAATAGCCAATATTTCATCAATTTATTCCCCAGAGATATGCTAAAAATAATATTTTTCATACTTCTAGGTTACAATGTTAAAGAGGGCAGCATTCTTACCTCAGAAAGAAAAAGAATTCCAGAGGGTTATAGTATTAACCTTCCCCTTCTCAAATGCTAACCCCCAAATAGGTCACTGGTACAGGTAGGCAAAGAGATCTCAATGACTGCACTTCCTTCTTTTAATATAATTAACTAATAATGAAAGGATATAAATTTCCTTCAAGCCCCAACTTTTTAAAAAAAATCATTGAAAACTTTTTTTAGTACACAGGCTTATTGTTATTATTAGGGTTTTTCCTAGAATATTTTAATCCAAGTATTATGGTTATGTGGATAATGTGTTCCACCCTAAGACTCAGTGAAAACTTGCTCCATTTAAATGCAGACTACTTTTCTATTGCACACGTTGAGTTTAATTAAATAAATACCAAATTTTAAAAAATGAGAAATCTATAATGTGGAAAAAGAAGGAAAGCTACAAATAACATATGAAAACGTAGTGAAAAAGAATTCCTTTAACACTGTTGAAAGACTAAACATGGTGTTAAATTTAGAAGTGCATCAATATTAATAGATGCACCATTCCATCCAAAAGAAACTGATTTGCTAGTACAAGGTCAGTGAATCTCTGACTCAGCCATCCTTATTCTGCCTGTTTGGGAACATCCACATGCCTGCCACATCAATTTAATTGAATGCAGATTCAAATAGCATTAATGGAATATCAACATAAATATATCTGCCAACATTTATTCTGGAACATATTTAATTTGAATTTTAATTTATGTTTAAACTATAACGTACATTTTGTAGAAAAATGTCAATTATTACTGAATAATTGATAAAACAATAGCTAATTGAGAATGTGTCAAGTTGTCATATCATATTGGGGAAAAGCAAATACATGTCATGCTTGCAGCTGAAAATATATAAGAGAGAGTCAAGTTGAATTTCTTCGCTCCATCGAGAATAACATGTAAATGCACAATACACTAAGTTTTGTGGTTTCTACTAAATATCCAAAAGTGCAAACCATACTTATGCTCAACTTGAATTGGCTTAAGTGGAATTTCCTTTTGAAAATATTGGCGCAATTGTTTTGTGATTCAGTGTCATTTAAAAAGAGTATAGATTTCTATAGAAAATGCAGCAGCATAAAGTAAAAAATATAGAATAAGCCATCACTCTACTACTGCCCATTTTTGTAGTTAGCCAGAATAGATTAAAGTGAAACTGATTGTGGATTAAGAAATACCAAAACCAAATTGAAACAACAAATAAAACAACAAGCAAAAAGAAGCCAAACTTACATCACCAAAGACCCAGTGTTATAATTACAAACAATTATCAATTGTTTGATACTGGTATAGTATTAACATTACTGAAGTAATAACAAATGACTTCAAAAGAGATGAGTCTGGAAAGAAGCAAAATTACCAAAGTAACTACTGTTTACATTCAAGTTGATAACGAAAGACTTTGATCATTTACAATATTATGGATGGTAGTTACTATGGGGGTTTAAAATAGCTGAAATTTATACACACACAGTTGTCCTTAATTATATTAAAAACACGAATCCCGGGTATACACATGTCGTGAAAATGATAAATAAATCTGAACACCAGGATAAAATATAAACAAAAACTGTTTAATCTGCAAAAATGCTGAGCTTTCGTCGTGTAAAACACCAGATCTGGGAGTTTGTTTATGTAACTGGCTGCCTCTGCGCTCTAGCCCTTGATCGGGTCATTGGTCCACCCATTAATACCGGACGTTCTGTTCTTAAAGGGGCGATACTCGTCAGTGTATTGTCAGTTTTTTAAGTTGATCTCCCCCCCCCCCATCGTTGTTATTCTCCTGGCGTGTGTGCAAGCACTCGGGGAGCGGCTATTGGCTTGTGTGTATACAGTATGTGTGTATCTATGTATGTGTGCAAGTGCATGTATGAATTAATGGGCTTGTTCCCAGCAAAGTGGGTACAGAATTCAAGCTTGAATAGTTTAAAAAGCTGTTTCCTTGTAAAGAAATGTAGGATAAATTATGCTTTCAATTTATCCGTCTTTTTATCATATGCTGTTTTGGGATTTTTTTTTCTTTTCACTCCAACTAACTGATCTAATTTATTCTACTACTTATACTGTATGTGTGAATCTCTGCTTAAACTTCTACAGCAAGAACCAGTGCAGCAGAAGTTACTATTCCCAATTTACCTCACAAAGTAATGGGTCATTCATTTTCTTTGAGTCTTATAGTGCTGTCATCTAATAACATGAATAAAGTCCCCATCAGTTATAAAACATACTTAATGTCCCTCTTCCCTCTTCAGGACTTCATCACATAGTTCACTTCTTCCCACATTCAACAAATCCATGAATCATATTATTTTTATCTATTTTTATCAAAAAAAATCTATAAATGTTTTCCAGTCTTTTAAGAAAATATTTATTATTATTTATTTATTATTTTTTCCTTGATCAAACAGGTCAATTTTGCCATTTCTGTTAATTCTATCATCTTCATAGTACAATCCTCCATTATGGTAGTTCATTATTTTTCCACCTTTGCACATACAATAGCTTCATTGAAGTTACTATATATAAAACCAATTTTCCATGTGCCGTTTCTAACTGGCTATCCAGTTGTTCAAATATCCTTTGGAATATATCAGTTGTAATCCCTATCTGCTCTGTTAATAATGTTCTCTTCCCTATTTTCGTTGCTTTCCAGGTTGTAGTCATTTCTGTTTTTAATTTATAATCCATATAGATATAGCATCAAAAAGATCCTTTAAAAAATTCTTTTAGTCCTTAACTTTTTAGTTCAATTCAGCACTTCATAGGTTTACAGTCACATGGTCTTTCTCAAATGCCACTTATCTCTTCATTTAAAAGACTTAGCCATTGAGTCTCCTTAAGAAAATCTTCTTTCCCACAGAGGTATGCATTATTAATTTAATTTAATTTAATTTAATTAAGAGCAGAAAATTTAAAATTTAACTGGTCCCTTCTGTTTTAGTTTTTATAATTCAAATTCTTAATATGTTTTTTTTTTTACTAAGGAGAACTTTCTTTTGATTAATTTTAAACCTTTATGACTAGTTGTTTATTTTTCTTATTGATTATATCCCAGGTTGTAAAGACAGTCAACAGATGTCTAGTTGCTTTGCTGTTTGAAAGATCTCTATAAGTGTCAAAGTATTTATATCCAAATATGCTTTAGAAAACAAAATTTTATTTGAGCCAAATGCCCTTAAAGTAGACTCTGCATGAGGCTGAGAGCTTGATATTCCTTCATTGGCTTCTGTGTTCTATCCAGTGTGCTTAAAGTTTCCATTCAGATCTGGTGAGTTTTCTTGTGAAAAGCAACCTTCTGGAGCACATGTGGGTGATCTCTTGGGTTCTCCTATATCTGTAGAAACTCTACAGGTCTGGCCTCACAACCAGGTCACAAATTTCCACCTCAGTATTGTCTTCAGTTATTGGAGCAGTTTACCATTTTCTCCATCCAGAAATCCAACACAAATATGTTTGAAATAGATGAGCTTTACCCGAAGGTGCATAGTGAATAGAGATATAGGTATTTTTATTAATGCAACCTGTTACTATGTGGATTTTTAATTTATTTAATTTTTAACTGTGAATGTTTACAGTGGTTATCTTACTAAATAAGAATTCAGGTTAAGCATGAAGCTGGATTTTAATCAAAATTAAATATTACCACGCTATTTATATATATATAAAACCCATTTCCATTAACGGGTCACATTGATTGTAGACAACGAGATTAAAAAATTTGCAACTTATACTTCAGATCTCTTTGTATTTATTGATCTATATATTTTTTATTTTTATTATGAACAGTATCAAAGCAGAAGAGTATATTACTGAAATCAGGAACTGTTTATTTCCCATAAGCCACATTTATTTTCTTCTTCTGACAAAATTATGAAGGCTCTTCCACAAATAATATATCTGATAAAATAGCTTTAAACCAGTAGAAAAAAACAAGCTTAATTGAAATCTACTAGTTTATGGAAAAATAAATATCATTAATATTTACTATTAGGAGGGTTTCTTTTCTGCTTTGAGAAATCTTAAAAAAATATATATTATCCAAAACAGGGTTTGTTTGTTTTTACTTGTTGCAATGCTGCTTTAAAGGTAATATACAGAAACCATAGCTGCATGGTTATTTGGAATATCAAGGGTTGTCCAAAACATCAAGTCTACAGCAGAGAAATCAGTAAAAATTGGAGATCTTTGCTCACTAGAAACATGTTCGGCTAATGCAGGGGGAGTCTTTAGATTCTGCTCTTCATGCTGACAAAGTGAAGGAAATGGTCTATAATCTTAAAAGGTGATAATGCGTAAATATGTCATAACACTCTTTGTCCATTCAATTCTGAAGTCTACCAACTAAAAAAAAATGTGAAACACAATACTGAACAGATGTCTTAAGATGTTTTAAGTACTGTAACTCTACTTTCAGTTTGTAACATACATTAATGTTTGGTGAGGTGTGGTTTGTTTTGCACCTGTTGGTTTAGGCCTGGAGATGAGGATCTCGCTTTTTTGTCATGCTACTATTTTGCCTACACACCTGTCTGCAACTTTACCTTCAAGTAGTGGTGTCCTCGGCTTTGGCCATCACTTTCATTCAGTGCATTGGGTTGCTAAGGAACACAAAGGAAAGGATGACCCACACTCAGGGTTCAAACTTATATTGTAGTGCCATTATCATGCCATTAGCTTGTAGCTAGATTCAAACTATATTAAATGCTTGGTTATTCAGTTTTTTATCATGCTTTTTTCACATGCATTTGTTAAATTGATTTTTACAGTTGTTCCAACCTTTGTATACATTAATTGTATTTTGCATCTGCACTATGCTTGTCATGTTGATAATATGTTATGGTTAATAAGATCATAATAATTATCTGAGGCTGTATATTAATTTTTCATTACATTGGTAGAATAGTAAAATTTGCAGGAAACCACTCTTCAGAACTACATTGAAATCACTTTCCCACACTGGGATTTCATTCACTGTAATGTATAAAGTACAGAACAAGAATATACATATATGCAGACAATATATGCAAAAAGGTATATACAGAATGATCAAGGATATTACTGTTGTTTACTGGTACATATTCTAAGGTCACTGAGATGATTGTTTATGAATATAAATATGACCATAGTTGGTTTCTGATACTGTATAATATTTATTTTGTTTATGTATTTTATTTACATCATGCCTTTTTTTTTTTTTACAAAAGCAACTCCAAGTGGTGAACGTAGCTAATACTCCTTCCTATTTTCCCCACAACAGCCCTGTGAGGTGAGTTGGGCTGAGAGAATTTCACCCACCTAATTTTCATAGCTAAAGTGACACTAGAACTCAGGGTCCACCCAGTTTCTAGCATGATGACTTAACCACTAGACAAAACTGGTTCAAGTATATACAATAAAAAATATGTAGTCTATAAATGATTGGATCTGAAAATGCCTTAACTGATTTAGAGTTGAGTTAAACAGTTTTGATTTTTGTTCTATAAAAAATTCACTGTGTTTGGATTTGGCCCACAAAGTTGTTCCTTTACTGCCCTTTTTTCATCAGCACCTAAACTAGGCAAAATAAATTACATATTGATATTGATGGTACAATATAGATAATGACATATAGATATGGCTTGCTTACAGCAATTGCTAGATAATTTGTTTAATCTGTTTATGAATACTGCATCTGTGCATGATGATGAAAGAATGCTGCTATTGTCCAGTTATACAAGAGAAAAAACAGGAAGAAAAAAAACAACAAGGTAGAGAAAAGTATTATTTGGGAAGTACAGTGTTGCTTTGTGACAAACATTGAGTGTATAGATCAGATATTTTACTCTTTAGTAAGTCACTGAGAAATCTACAAATGTGAAAAAGGTTTACAACACAACTGCTGATTTAAACAAAAGAACATAATTTGGAATTGAATTATGTAATTTTATATGCACAAATATGGTATTGGATTTGTAGATATTATAGGATGGTCTATGATGGAAGTAAAGCAGGCATAAAAATAAATGGAATACTTAGCAAATGGTTGTGTAGAACAAGGTAATGATGTGTGGTTGGACAAATTTATGAGCATACTTGTGGTACTTACTATTAGAGCTATTTTATTTGGGGATATAAGTGTATGTATACTTTGTATGCAGTTGAAGCCACATTATTTGGATGAGAACACAAAATGATTTGCAGTAAATGCTAGTATGACTGAATGATAACAGTGTATGAGGGGAATGGATATGATAATCCATATATATAAACCAAGATTTTTTGATGCTAAAGGAAAATGCAGAGTGAACAAATGTTAAGCTACACTAGTGGCAGTAGAATACTCTAGTAGTGATGAATGAACATTCATTGAATACAAGAGTGAGTGATTAGTACAAAAGAAATACACAGAAGTACATTTCAAAACAAATGTATGAAGGGAGAATGAACAGATGAATAAGAGGAAAAAGAAAACTAAGAAATTTTGGTTGGAGGAAATTGGTAATTTCCTGAAAAAAAGAGGGAAATGAGAAGATTAAAAAAGAAATGGCAACATATTAATTGGACATGATGGATGAAAGAATGTTTGCGAGAATTGAAATATATGAAGTAAAATAGAATTATGAGTTCTACTGGAGTAAATTAGCTGTACTTTCTTTTATTATCTCATGTATTAAGATCATCTTTTAATTCCTTTTAGTGCTCTATTTAATGTTGCTTATCCTGAATTTAAAGATAGTCTAAGCTGTGAAAACACTTTCCCAGTGAATAAAAGAAAAGGAAGGAAAGAAAAAGAGTCCAACATTATTATATTCTGCTTACATTTTTTCTTTGGACTGCAGTTTGTGTTTAACATGATCAAAATTTTGCACTGAATAAATTATATAAGAATCCCCACATGTAAAATAAAAAAAAATGAAACAGTGCATCACATGCAAGTTTACTCCATATTCTTTTGTTTTTTGTTTTTAAATTAAACCTTAAAAAGGAAATAAAAAAATATTATGCTTGCATTACTAAGTTAAATACTTCTAATACTCAAATTCTCATATTGTATAAAAGAAAAACTAGAGGTTTTAATAGATGATCCCAGTTGATTAAAATATTAGCAATGAAAATCATAGGATGCATACATGCAAAGAATTAAACACACAAATTATTGGTATATTGAAATTTAATTGAACATTAAAAAACCAGGAAATCATGAAAATGTTGTTAAATTTATTACATGCATATTTGGAAGGTCAGAATTCTTACATAAAGTTTAAAATATTGAGAAATAGTTTAGCTGGCCTTTCTTTAGCCATATAAACATTTTTATAACATTTACTTTTATAATTGTTCATGCAAGATCAATTACCATATTTTATAAAGGGAAAGGATGAAGGCAATACGCAGGGATTTAATACAAAATTTAAAATATTAACTATCTCTCTGAAGATGTACTTTAGAAAAATTAAAGTAGAAAAGTGTACTTACCAAAAGAGAATTAGATCGATGATTATGTGAATACTGCTGAGAAAAAAATTCTGTAGTATGATCCAGTCTATTATGTCCTCCATACTCTGGAGCATCAGAATCCAAGGCAATTTTATATGTATGGCAATAGTTAAGGATTTCTATAGCAGATTTACATCATTTAAAATAAAAAATAATACACGTCTATAACATTTAGATATTCTCTGTTTTGTATGTCATGAGCTGAATACACATAACCTTCCATTAGCATGCTGGGGTCACATTAAAAAAAATATCAAAGCAGTCAAAAAATAAATTTCATTTGCTTAATCTTTTTTAGATAAATGTAATTAGACCTAAATAAAATAATTAGATGTAATTATCTTTCAATATACAAAAAAAACAGATGACTCTTAGTATGTTTAGCAATTTTCTTCTTCTATATAATTATAATTAGGGAACAAATTTTGAAGACAGTTTAGGGAAATAGGTTGTTATAAGGAATCAAATTGCTCTCTAATCTACATGAACAAAGGTTATACATACTACTATTCAAGTATCTGTTTATTATTCAGTATAAAATATATTTACCTATTTTACCTGAAGGAATAAATTTAGTCTATACCCAGTTATTTAGTAATAACCTGCTTGTAGGAAAATTGAATTTATTTTGGCGTAAACGTGTGTAAGACTTCCAGTAACCATGAATTAAATATAAAGAAAAATGACTAAATTTATGAACTTTGGTCCCACTTAATTTACTCATGGTTTACCACCATTAACTCAATGTGACTTAAGTCATAATTATCAAAATGTTTCAAGTGAAAACACAGAGGATTATTACGAAATTTAATACAAAGGGAACTTTGAAATGGGAACTTTGAAAAATGAAAAGCTATGAAATTTATTTACAAAGAAATGTCAAATACCATTCATGTATCCACACACAAACACACATAAATATATTCAAGAAAAGTCTGGACTTGACAATCCTGCCCCAAGCAAGATCCCATAAGCAAGAATGACCCTCAACTCCATTCAATGTAAAAGTTTTACTTTACTAAAGGCCAAGTGGATTCCAGTATAGCAAAGCCAGAACTGAGGTTAGCGCACCAAATTTTCATAAATAACTTTTTCCCATTTGTCCCTTCCCATTTTTGATCTCTCTTTGTCCAATCAATTCAAATAAAATGTTTTGGAACAGTCTTTTCATCTGTAGAGTAGGCGGTGCAAAGGTGCATGCCTTTCCCAGCTATCTGACCTTGAAGTTGTGTCGCTAGAAGGTATGATGAGTTCTTAGCCTCCCCTCCTCTCCCATCCAAGACCATCCCAACATCCTCCCTCCATAGTTCATGGCAGACTGTCAGCCAGTGAATATGAAGTGCATGAGTGAGATGGCAATTCTGACTACAACCTTTGAAATCATTCAATCATAATTTCTAAAAGCTAATTCAGATTTCTTATGCTGTCACACAGCTAGAATCAGGCTGCATTTTCTTTGGGACTTGTTTGTAACATTGTCACATTAGCAAGTCCTTTCCAAAAGCTTTTTGAGTATCCTTACTTTGTTAGATAGGCTTGTTTCTTTCCAAAGATACAAATTGATAATGATATGGCAACTATAGTTTTTCTATTCCAGCAATGTTCTTGATAGATCCTTGGCTAAATCTGGAACCAAGTCATTCCAATTGATGGCATAGGGTTTCCTGCCTAAGCAGGGGGTTGGACAGAAAACTTCCAAGATCTATCCTATCCTATCCTATCCTATCCTATCCTATCCTATCCTATCCTATCCTATCCTATCCTATCCTATCCTATCCTATCCTATCCTATGGAAGTAGAGAGCTCTAATTTCCTGTCTCCTGGATTATCTTCAGGTATTGTTCCAAAATTCTTGATGCCTGTAGAGAGCCATGGCTGTGTGTGTGTGTGTGTGTGTGTGTGTATGTGTGTGTTGAGAGAAAAAGATCTTGGAGAAATGAAGGTTGCAAAAATGTGTATTAAGCTAGAAAACAGAAGGCATGAGGAACAAACTTAGACTGATTTTTCCCTAATTCGCTTGAATGTACAAGGGGAGAGGCAAAAAGTCAGATTTTCAAGATTCTATTAGTAAGCCTGTATCAACAGAATACCAGCCAGATTGTGGATACAATTTCCTGACTTGGCCTACCCGAAAGGACTAACAGTCTCCCATACAGAACATTTTTATCCCTACCCTAGAGCAATATATTTCTTATTAGAATGATAACGGACAGATATAACACCACCTGAAAATACTGCACATGCATATATTCCAATATAGATGTTGAATCTATATCACATGTGTTGATAAATTCTCACTGCGGCAATGGCAAACTGTTCTCCTACCACAAGATGTAACTATTTTTATGCTCAAGAGATTACCACTTTCCCTTAATGGGACTAATTTCCCCCCAAACACTACAAGATTCTGATCAACAACTATGGTTTACAGAAACTATTTAATATCGCTCTTACATTAGTAACTGTTCCTGAAAAATTAAATGATGTAAATTACTTAGGGCAGCCTTTGCTTGACCTAAATCCCTGCAAAAGTATTATAGTGTGTTCAAAGCTGATGCTTAAGTCAGCATGTTTCACAGAGGATTGATCCAGAAAAACTCCTAAAACAGCATGCAGAAACCCTCTTCCAGTAATTGTTTATACTGACAATCATCTTTAGTTCCTCCTTGCCTACCAGAAAGATCAAAATACTATTTGGATTACTTTATGGCTGCTTCTCCATTGAAATATGATTTCAGCAGGTGCCTGCACATTGCCTGCACACTGCTGAAATGATTCATTATGTATTTATAGAGGTAAAACAAGTATGTGAAGTGTTGATGGCAGCTGGACCTGTTAAGTCACTAGCGATATAAAATAACACAATGAAGGTTGAGCAAAACTGTAAGAAAATCAGTCTGTCAAAGGTACAGAAGCAAAAATTAGATACCAGCATTTAAAATTAGACCAAGTGATATAGATGCTATAAGGCAATTAAAAATTATAACCAATTATAAACCAATTATTTTGTTGCCAGGTATCTCCACATTCAAATTATGGAAAGCCTCAGGAAAAGGATATATTAAAATATAGAAGCTGTTATGCTAAAAAGTATCTGCTAGGCCCAAAGGCCTTTTTTGCCAAAATGCTCTGCATTTTTTTCCAGCCTTATTTAATCTTACTTTTTCTTCCTGTCATTTGAAGTCTTTTCTCTCCATAGCCTCCTTCATTTCATCATTTCTCCTAATATCTTTTTCATACATAGTGCCCCTGACACTTCTACGACATTTTCTAACATAATAATTCTTGTGTTTTAAGTAAATTCCTTCACTGTTTTTCCTTATGTCATTTCCATATATTATGCTGGGAGACTAATTTGTCTTCAAATACCTTTTATATAAGTTTTACTCTTATATAAAGACTTATTCTTACTGAAGTTGTTCCAGTTTAATTTATTTTTCATTTCTTCTCCTTCATATTCCCTTTTTTCTTCAAAGTTCTATTGCTGACACCACCTGTATGGAATATTGAGTCTGGGAATATGAATCACAGAGTGAAAAATATTGTAGAACAGAAATATCTGCCAATTCATTCCTTAATGCAAATGGGTACAAATATATCTTCCTAACAAAATTCTCTAACTAACCCCTTTTTCTTTCACTAAATCTGACTAATAGACTTGTGATTTTTGGGGTATGATCAGCTGTTATGGGTTTGGCATTATTAATAACAGACTTTCATCACCCTTTTTATCCACTATCTCAACCTTTTATCAGTCATATCAAATCAATCAAGTTTTCATGTAGTGTTGCTCATCTGAGATTATATTTATCTACTTTTAAGAACTGCTAAGGGCCAGATGATTTTTACTATGTCCTGATACATATAACCATAGAACTCAAGGAGGATGTTCTTTTCTTTTTCACATGATGTAGGTTCAATTCCAGCAAGATGGAGTTGCTTTAGGTTTGGAAACCATCTGAGTATTTCATTGTTGGTCATAGATGCTGCTGGTTTTGCATTTAATCATAAGCTGGAGGTCCTTTTGGACTTCGAAGGTCTTCCTCATAGTTAGAGGAATATCTATCTATATCTGGTGTACCAGTTATGGCCATTCCTGGATCAAGAGTCTCTGTGGATGGTCACTTATGCCTTGGTCATTTATTGCTTGGATTACTGCAAAACAGTCTACATGGAAGTGCTCTTGCAAATAATCTAGAAAATATAGCTGGTCCAAAGGCAATGCATGGATTATATGACCTGCCTATATTTGAGATTTGCCAGCTCAAAAAGTTTATGCTTGAAGAATATTTCCTTAGACTATATTGGAAAGTTTTTCCTTAATTATTGTTACTAATGATCAGGGTCCACAGTATTGTCAGGGATACTATGCATCCTCTCCATGACCAGTTTTCCTTGCTACCTTTTGGGATGAGGCTTCATGGTATTTGAAGCAGAACATAGAGATTCAGTCACAGATTTGTTCCATATAGTAACAACCTTGTGAACTCTCAAGTTTCCTCTTTCCACTATGTATTCAAAATGGATGTATGTATGTATGTATGTATGTATGTATGCGTATGTATATGTATTTGTATGTATATATGTACGGTATGTATATACAGTGTGTGTATACATGTGTGTATGTATGGGTATATATATATTTTTGTTTGAGAGTGGGCAACAGAATTTTACTTTTAATGTGTGCCAGTATGTTCACACAAAAATACGACAATAAAAGTTATCTATCTTATCTATTATGTATCTTTGATCCTTATTCAACTTCTGGAATCTACATTGCTTAGAGTCAGTTTAATTACAGCAAATGAAACTGATCATTCTTCCAATTTTTTTTTTGGGGGGGGGCTTCAAACCCTCCCAGTTCCATTGGCTGAATACATCAAAAATATTGTCTTCATTTACATAAAGCTATTAAGAAGAATCCTATGATCAAGCAAGTTATGCAGTATGAAAACAGCATAATGGCATACCAAATTTGAAACAGCCTTTTCATGCCTTTGCAACTAAGACAATTTGTTCATATAATTAAGAATTCAAATTATGTTCAGTGGGTACAAATTAATTTAGCATAATATTCCCTATTCATAAGGGAGATTC